TGAAAGTCCCGACCCTTCTTCTCAAAAGTTGAAATCAGAAGGCACAGTGTCCATTACTAGGTCACATCCTTTTAGTCATCTTAACTCAAATTCACAAACCCAGGTGCAAAACTTCTGCATGCAAAACTCAGAGCCCTCCTCCCACCTCCAGCCTAGTTGTCCCTTTCCGGTGTCCCCAACTCTACCCTGCACCCCAGCACCTATGTCCCAACCCCATCCCATAGCCACAGGGGAGGTCACATCTGTTGGGGATGGGAGACGTGAAATCAGAGGAGACTTCACAGAGGAGGCCGCACCTGAGCTCTGCCTTGAGAGATGGGGCAGGATTTCCCAGGCACAGATGGAGGGAAAGATTATCCAGAGAGAGATGGCATTTCTGTGCAAAGCGAGGGGCAGTGCATAGATGCAAGGCGTGGGCTCACAAGTCTGGAAGACGGGGTTCAAATCAAACTCTGGCATTTACTGCCTCTCCTCATGGCCCCCAGCCATCTTCTGTGTCAATGTGAACCACACACACAAACATACACACACGCGCGCGTGCGCGCACACACACAAACACACACAGGCTTCCTGGTGTTTAGGCCTTTCTCAATTCCAATTCTCATGTCTCAGGGCTTGCAAGCTCCACCCCTCAGTGGGTGTTACCAATAGGCCCCTCCCTCCCCACCTTACTGCACATGATTGGTTGTCTAGTGGGCAGTGGGCAGTCAGCCCTCACTCTCCAATCACCTGCCATGAAAATGGCTACCAGTTCCCCCCCAAAATGCTGCTTGTGGCGTGGTTGGAATTTACCTCTCTGATCAGAGACCCATTATGGGTTACTTTGTTAGTCAGGTCTCCTCAAATGTCACTTCCTTGTACAAACCTTGAACCTATTGAACCCGACAATCTTTAAGGCCCCTGCCACTCCTACATTCTGTGGCTGATAATGGTCTAATACAGTGGTTCTCTACTGGTTATCCTTTCTAAGATAGAATCTACCTGCCACTGTCTCCTGATACTGCTTAATCTTCCTAGCAGAGCTGAAATATTATATTTTTTAACTTTTTGTTTTGAAATCATTGTAGATTCACAGGAAGTTGCAAAGATAGTACAGTGACATCCTTTACCATGTTTCTCCCAGTGGCTACATGTTACATACCTACAGTACCATATCAGAACTGGGGCACTGATGTCGGTACAATGTGTGTGTGAGTTTCAGCATCACTCTATCACATGTGTGGCTTCGTGTATCAACACAGTCAAGATACTGGACAGTTCTATCACTGAAAGGATCCCACATGTTGCCCTTTTATGGTGCCCCTACTCACCACCCTCAATCCCTGTCAGTCAACCACTAGTCTGTTTTCCATTTCTGTAATTTCATCCTTTCAAGAATATTATATAAATGGAATCATAGAGTATGTAACCTTTGGTGGTTGGCTTTTTTCACTCAGCACAATGCCCTTGAGAATCATCCAAGCCATTGCTTGTATTAATAGTTTGCTCCTTTTTATTGCTGAACAGTATTCCATGGTATGGATGTACCACTGTTTGGTCATCCACCCATTGAAGGACATTGGGGTTGCTTCCAGACTTTGGCTAGCCCAGTTAAAGCTGCTATAAACATTCATGTACAGGTTTTTTTGTGTGTGAGCATTAAGTTTTCCTTTCTCTGGGACAGATGCCCAAAAGTGTGATTGTTCAGTCATATATTAAATGTATGTTTAATTTATTAAAAACTGCCAGGCTACTTTCCAGAGTGGCTGTATCATTTTACATTCCCATGAAATATTATACCTATAGGTATTTATTGTCTGTCTCCCTCAATAGAATGTCAGCTCCACGAGGGTAGAGGCTGTGGTTCACTGCTGTATCCCCAGCGCCTGGAACAGCAGCTGGCATAGAATAGGCACTCAATAAGTATTTGTTGGAGGAACGAAGGAAATCCAACTTCCAGCCATCACGGCAACCTAAACTAAAACTAAACTAAACTCAAGTGTCCAAACTTAGGTGCAGAATGAAGAGCCTAACATCCCCCTGCATCTCTGTCCCAACTCTCATCCCAGTGCCCCCAACACCCCTTTGTCCCCCAGTTCTTATGCCCCCACTGCCCATCCCATGGCCTCTCTGCCATGGCCAGGCTGCTTTCCTTCTCTCCTTTGTACATTTCTTAGCTCTCACTGCCCTGCAGACTTCTGTCCTTGAGACTCACGTCTTCCAAACACCTTTGCCTGACTAACCTCAGTGAGAGTTTCTAGTTCATTCATTTGTTCACCAAACATTTACTGAATGCCTTACTATTCCAGGCACTCTTCCAGGCTTGGAATATGGCAGTGCACAGGACAGACATGGTTCCTACTCTCAGAGAGCTTACATTCTAGTTCTTGGCCTTGTGCTCTCTAAACCCTAGAAACATTGAAAAGTGGGTGAGCACATATACACAGGAGTGTATATGTAAAACAGGAGTGATAGGTAAAACAATTAGCAACCTGTACAGGAGGGGCCCCTTCCAGTCAAAATGTAAGCCAGCCACAGGCACTGGAGCATAGTCTTGCAGGCCGCCTAACTGTGCCAGGTGTTAACCCTTTAGTTGATCTTTTATAAAGAGGTCCCAGGGGAGAGGTCAGGTGGCACCCAGGAAGCTTAGGGCACTGACTACTTAGCAATCAGTGGGAGAGAATCCCTCAATATTTTACAACAGGTATGGCCATACCAGTGCATCCCAACCAAATGTCAGCCATGCATACACGTACAGCCGATCCTCAGTATTCACAGATTCTGTATTTGCAGATTCGTCCACTGCCTAAAATTTATTTGTGACTCCAAGATCCATACTCACGGCAGTTTCCTGGTCATTTGCTGACATGCACACAGCGTGAAATTTTTGAGTCTCCCAATGCACATTCCCAGCTGAGGTCAAACAAGACGATGCTCTGTCTTCTTGTTTTAGCTGTCATGCAGAGCCGTCCAGAGGATGGAGATGGTAGGGGGCAGTGCAGTGTAGTGCAGGAAGCTCCAGCTCTGGGGACAGTTGGATGGGGTTTGAATGCCAACTCTGTTAATGGGGCAGCTTCAGGCAAGTCACAACACTTCAGAACCTCATTTTCTCCTGGTGAAATAAAGAAAATCGAATCTACCAGGATGAGTTGTTTTTAGAATTTAAGATTATAATCTATGTGAGATACACACACACACACACACACACACACACACACACACACACACACACACACACACACACACACACACACACCAGGAACAACTGTTCAGTATTCATTAGTTCAGCGCTCACACAACTATGAATAGCAGAAATCAACCGAGAGAATCTTCTCTCACGTTAAAGTGAAAGCTTCTTGAAGACCCCCAGCACATGTTCACTGTTACAGCGCCTACATCACAGAACATGGTAGCACTTGGCATCTCATGGGTGCCTCTTACCAGACTCTCATGTTCAAGCTTGACAGTCTCCAGAAGAAAATCTCCTGATAGGTCCAGTTTGTGGCCCAAGAATCTGTACTTTTAATAAGAGCCACAAGTAATTCTGATGCTCAGTAGAATTTGGGAAATATTGAACCAGACAATCTTTAAGGCCCCTGCCACTCCTACATTCTGTGGCTGATAATGGTCTAATACAGTGGTTCTCTACTGGTTATACATTTGAACCTCCTGAGAAGCTCTTAAACATATTGATCCTTGGGGTCTAGCCTCGGACCAGGTGACTTACAAGCTCTGGGGATGGAGCCCAGGTATTGAGCTTTTGAAAACTCTCCCCAAATGATTCTGATATGTAGCCAGGGTACACAGTCTAATGTGTAGTCTCTTTCTGATGGCATTTTCCTTTTAAAGGAGTTACCATGGCAGATCATTGGGGAGTATCTTGGG